ATACTCTAAAACATCAAGAGCGCAAAACAGACACATACACTCACACACACACACATACACACACACTCACACACACACACACACACACACACATACACACACACACACACACACACAGATACCTGCAGATGTAAATGGAGGCTGCCATCAAGGTTATTATAGTTAAATAACACTATAAAAACAATTTTATTACTTCAAATAAAATAAAGTTGAAAATGTAAAATAGAAATAAAATAGATTTTAAAAATAGATAGATGAAATAGATTTTTTTTTTTACATTTTATTTAATAAAAATATGAACCACATTTCCACTTTAAAATTACTAAAACAGACAGAAATAAAATGAAAAACTATATACATACATTTGAAAATACATATATTAAACACCCAAGAAAATTACTGAAACTTTAAAATTAAGCAAAAATTTAAATTAAATCAAAATTAATAAAAGCTGTAATATCTAAATGATACTAAAATAACACTGTTTGCCACAAAATCTACATAAAATAAAGAATGTAATAATATAAACAACTTAAATGGTTATCAATATGTTAATTAGTAAAGATTTCCAAACCTACCTAACCCTAAAATCATTTTGTTTTGCATAGAGAGAAAAAAATTATGAAACACAGTTCCACTTAATGTGATAAAATAACAGAAATAAAAAACTTATAAAAACTATAGACATAGTTTTAAAAAAGCCTAAAAATTGCAAATATAAAAAAATATGAATATCAAAATAGTAATAAAAGATATAATAGTATGTGAAATGTTTAATAAATTATATAATAATTTAATTAAATAAATTCTAAAATATTTTATTTTTAATATGCTAATTAGTATAGATTTCCAACCCCAACCCTAAAGTTTTATTTATCTATCTATTTATGTATTTATTGCTTGCTTTGTATTTTGACTTGGTTAGATACACAGTAGAGCTGGGTATCGATTCAGATGTCCCGATTCGATTCTCGATTTTTTGATTACATTCAGTGAATATAGTTTTAATACAAATGCTATTGATATTTCTAAAAAATTTACAGTAAACATCAGTTTACAAATAATGAATTAATAAAAAGACATGCCTGTATTTTTAATCTATTCTTTTTTTTTTGTATAGGGTCCTTTTTTAAACAATAATTGCGTGATATCAAATGCTTCCGCAGATTTATAGTATTACTATAGCATTTCACCTGAGCATTGCGAATCACGCGTATGGCCATGATAAGCGCTGAATGAATGACAGGCTTTCTGTTGTAACATCGCGCAAGGTAAATAAGGGTGACATCTAGTGGAGAAGATTAATGATAAGATTCACGTTAATCAGATCTTGTTTTAAATGTGTGCTGAAATAAACACCGGAAAAGATCGATTCGCGGCTTTTGAGAATCAATATCAAATCGATGTCATTTAAAAAAACGATTAATCGAAAAATCGATTTTTTTTTGCCCAGCCCTAATACACAGATGTGGTTGTTTTTATCATGGTGAGGACTGTCCATTCATGTTTTGTACTAAGCTAACAATATTGTCTATCCTCTAAACCTAACCTTCACAGAATCCTTTATGCATTTTCCATAAGATATTATTAGTCTATTTTCATTGTGTGGATTGTTGCCCACCTGAGGAAACAAATCACTGAAGTAGGGCTGCACGATTACGACAAAAATCATAATTGTCGATTAAAAACCTTGAAATTGTAATTGCGATTATTAATTACGATTATCACAATTTACATTGAATGATGTTTATACCATTGTTTGATGCAACTGCATGCCGTACTTTTATATGAAAATAAACAAGCTGAAAACACTCTATCTGAGAAACCTTTAGTGCTTTTCTATAGTATTAAGCCTCAAATGTCAACTAAACATCGGATTGGTTTCTTCTTTAAATGATAAAAAAGTAAAAATATGAATGGTATTATAATGTTATAAAAATCATAATTGTCGATTATTGCCTTGAAATTGTAATTGCGATTATTAATTACGATTATCACAATTTACATTTAATGATGTTTATACCATTGTTTGATGCAACTGCATGCCGTATTTTTATATGAAAATAAACAAGCTGAAAATTGAAAAACCTTTAGTGCTTTTCTATAGTATTAAGCCTCAAATGTCAACTATACATCGGATTGGTTTCTTCTTTGAATTATAAAAAAGTAAAAATATGAATGGTATTATAATGTTACACTAAAACTAAAACAATGGAAAAACCCTTAAGATAACATGTAGAAAGAAAAAAACATATCTTAAACGTGCAGAATAACATAAGTGGACTTTGAACGATTAATTGCCGCTTTGAATGATTCCATAATTGTGGCATCCATAATTGTAATTGTGATTAGAAATTTGATTAATTGTGCAGTCCTACACTGAAGCTCATGTTTGTGCGCATGTGAATGTTTCTAATGACAAAGTGACATTGAGAAAGTAACGTGGAGTAAAGAAAAGAAAGGAGTGTGTGTGTGTGTGTGTGTGTGTGTGTGTGTAATGCAGCTGACACAACTGTGTGTTACATTTCAGAATTGACAGATTAAATTCCACAGACTAATTCCACTCAAACACTTTTATAAGATATATGATCCAGAGATTAGCAGGTCTAAAATACATGCATGCACCGCACAGAATGCATGTGATGTCTCCTCTGAAACTTTAACCGCCCGCAGAGCACTTATCCTTCACACAGCATCCTAATGTAAACTAGTCAACATCCGTGGATGGTGACAGTAAATCGTGGATAGTAAAAATGGTAAATAAACCCAGCCAATAATATCAATATTACACATACTGGAGCTCTAACGTTTTTTTTTTTTACTTGTGTCATTGTAAGTTTACTATAATAATGGAATGATTGTGCTGTCTTTTATATATAAATATATATATATAAATAATAATATAAT